CTAATATTATTTAATACTATATGACACTGTTTATTTTCCACCTGATATTATCTAACATTATACGATACTGTTATATGTATACTATATTACGCATCCACGCACATGATGTGTTATATTTACGTTCATATGGTTTCACAAAAATAAAATTTGTTCCCTGTATATTCATTCGATTAGATTTATCACGTGAATGCAGTAACGTCGATTGGGCGAACGATTCTCATAGCTCGACGAGCATAAAAAAAAAAGAAAAAAATTCGTTTTGTATTCAATTTGTGCTCATCGTTATGAAATTGTGAAATATTGAAATAAATGAATTTATTAAATTGCAAAGTCGAGTCTGTAGAAGAAAAAATCATTCGGGAAATGTCTTCTCGTTCATATTTTATGTGGTACCCAATGACAGTATTGAATGTATCACTTTTTTTTGTCGATATGTGAGAGATTTAGATGGGAAAGCTGTATTGAATCTTGAATGTAGTTGAAAAATTGCGCGATATGAGACGCTTTAGAAATTGATGCCGCCTATATTTCTATCTCTCTCTCGTACTAATAATATCTATACTTAATCCTCCGTCTGCAATCATATTTTTATTCCCTGCGTCTGCAATTTGGGTTTTTTTTCCAGTCTAATTTTGTTTTACTGTTCTAAGATGCAGTCCACTTGGCACTGCAAATGCTTCGAAGTATTTAATTGGAAGAAAGAATTTCGTTAATTAACCGATATAAAAAATATTTGAAAGCATTTGTAGCATCAAGTGAGCTGTAACTCAATTCTTTAAATTTCTTGAAGTGAAATCTCACTCAAAAAGAAGAAAAATTGTCATCATTCTTTTTTAAGAAGTGAAATATTTTCACTTTTCTCCAAAATGACATTAAAGTATTTTCACTTTATTAGAGTAAGATTTCACTCCAAGAAATTTAGAGAGTAGACTTTCAAAAAAATGTAGAAAAAATTCAGGATTAGTTAGAGGGTTAAAAGGAGGGAAAGGAAAAGAGAAAAATTCATTACTATGCTAATAAAGTTTCATTAACGTTTGTAATAACATTGTAACCTTCCTTGATCTGAGACAAAGTCTCGGCTGACGTTTCGTTTAAACGTAAAGAGTTAATAAAGAATCCGTACGTAGACTCGTCGCTGGCGTTTCTACTGAGATTCTATCATAATCGCTTTCCACTTTGTTCACACTTTACGACACGCGAACGGCGTGTACCGCAGAGTTTCTCGCTCCTCACTCACACCCATCACGATACTATACTCCGCGTGATTTTATCTCGAGATGAATATCACGCTACGGGAGAACGAGGTAACAATGGCAATGCGATACTCGACGATCGCGTTTCGCTATACAGAGAGAGATACGTCTCGCCCGAGCGCATTCGTGATGCACGTCATCCGGTATTAGCGACTTTGTGCAGAAGATGACTCGTCGTCGAGGCGGAGATGAATAATGCATTTAATATCGCGGTAACTGAATAATATATCTAACTTTAGATTTGCGCGATTCTAAATTCCGTCGGTACGCGAGTACCGTTGTTCAACGAACAATACGTTTACCTCGCTGCCGAACGGCACGATGGAATGACAACTGTCCGTAATTCGATTTCGGATGCGTGGGCGCGGGCTTAACGACTTACCGTTCCCGCACGTGCGGGAAATCTCCCCATCGGAGATTTCCGCGTGTACACACCGACGGTTACATTTCTCCATATATATTTGTTTGTTTGTTTGTTTATCCGCGTGTGTAAGTCGCTTGCTATGCTACGAGCACAATGCAAACGTGCTGACTGCTCGGCTTGACCGGCAGATTTTGTTTGGCTTATAGGGCACCCACATCGACTAGATTTGGTCAAGCGGAAAGCAGGCGAGACGCGAATTCATTCATGCGTTTATTTCAAGCCCGCCAGCTTACTTTTGCATCACCTCGATGATACCCTTCTGCCTTCTTTCCCTCTCCATCCCTCTTTCTCATTCGTTCTTTCTCTCTCATTTGTAAATAAGAGGCGAAATCGAAGTGGAAATCATCTGGTCGGACACGCCTGTTTCTACGACAGTCTTGCGACAGTGAAATTATTCAAGCACGCGTATAAAGTTTCATTTCAAAATTATTTTTTGCTCATTTCTATTTTTTTTCTATAAATAATATTATGAAAAAAATATTATAAACTGTTGTTACGTTTTACATCTTTATAAAATGTATTTCATAATAAATTTTAAATATATCTAACGACAATGTATTAGGTGAGTGCAAAAGTTAGTGTCCGATTAAAAAAAAAAATTTTTTTTGTTAAGTACAGAATATAATATTTTATTCAAATTGGCAATTATACTATTCGAGAGAAAAGTTTAAGAATCTGTTTTCTTAATTGCGATACGATGATTTTTAACGGAATTATGAGCAATCGAAGTTAAAATCATTAAAATATAAATAATAACAATTCAGATGAGGCTAATGAGAGTCATACGCTGTTTTAGAAGTGAAGAGATAGGAAAAGTAGAGATAGGAAATAATCAGATATTGGTGATTATTTTCATTTTATGTCATTTCGATCGTTTCGGCTCACTTTGAAGTCTTCATCAGCGATTACAAAATTCAAAAATTCATCCATTGAAAGCAAATCACTTGTAGATTAGCAGAAATGCAGTATTCACTACACTCAATAGAAAACGAAAAAAAGTTACATTGTATATTAGATATATATCGTTCTTCTGAATATGATTTCGTGTATGGACAACATGATGTGTCATTTAAAATTGAACGTTATAATATGACATGTCATATTATAACGTACAATTTTAAATGACACATCATGTACATACACGGAATCATATTCAGAAGGACGACATCTAATATACGGTGTAACTTTTTTAACTATTGATATGATTGTGAATCGTTATTTCTGAGCTTCTTTTTTTTTGTTTTCCATTGAATGTCATGAATGCTGCATTTCTGCCAATCTGCTAGTAACTTGATCTCAATGGATGAATTTTTGAGTTTTGTAATCGCTGATGAAGACTCCAAAGTGAGCCGAAATGTTCAAAATGAAATAAAATGAAGATAACTACCAACATCTGAGGATTATCTACTTTTTTTATCTCTTCGCTTCTACAACAGCGTATGACTCTCATTAGCCTCATCTGAATTTTTATTATTTATACTTTAACGTTTAAGATTCAGAGATTCCTAATTTAGATTTATATTTATACATTTAATTTAATCGAAGTCAAAAGTGTTCTTTTTATTTAATCCGGATAACTAATAATAAAAAATCTTAGAAACATTAAAAAAAATAATTTTGTAGGGAAAACTTTAAGCTTCCACATTAAAAAGTTGAAAATTTTTGTAAATTTTTTTACAATTGACGGGACCATAAAATGAGAAGAAAATTTCCCATTTTATCCAGCTCAGTTTTTTATATGTAAAAATTACCAAACTCACGGAAACTGAAAAAGTGAATTGTCGAAAGTATAGACTTTAAACTTTAAAACCCTTTTTTTTTAATTTCGTTCATTTTTAACGAGTAATAATTGCAGCTGCTGGAATTTTGAATAATAAATTGAACACAAATTTTTGCACTCACTCAATATGTAAAATACACTTTATATTTTTAGAAACGTTACATAATATAATAGTTGTTACAGTTTTGTAGATATTTTTGTAAAGACTTAAAAAAGCGAACGTTAGCGCGTTGTACGTCCTCTTTTATAATTTATATAGAATATTAAATAAATCCGGCGAAAATCGGTCGCGACATTGATTTTCAACGTTGTAAGTTGTAAGCTAACGTGAAATAATTACATCGCGAAAACCGGCGTGACGAAGAGAACCTTGATCGACCGTATCTCTTGATTCTAGACGGTTAAACATGTGTACGCTCGGAATAGCCAAAGGGTTAACGCGCATTTTACGCTATCTCATCGATTGCGAGCATAGTGTATGTGCGGATAAGTGACATAATATTCGCACGATTAAATCAGAGTTTTCCTGTGAGCGCGCGAGCCATGTTGTTTCCTCTCATACAGGATGAAAACAAGCAAAATATTGAAGACTCGCAATGTTCGAATATATTCCCACACACAGAAAAAAAATACATACTGTATGCAAATAACAGTTACTTGTTTCAAATATTTCGAAATATTTGTATCCGTCACAGATCTATTATAAGTCAACACAAGCATCAAATTTATTCAAAATATATTTTGAATCCTAGTAAATTCACTTTAATCAAGATTATTAAATTAAAATAAATTCGATTTGCTTATTATAATATAATATATGTATTATAATATAAAATTTCTTCTTCGCGCGTGCGAAGAATTTTATATTTTTCAAAAGAAAAATTCTTATTCCAAATACATACATAACAATGAGTTTTTCTAAAATTTGTGATATAGATAAAGGTATAATAAAAAAGATACGCGAAGTACAAAAAAAAACTATTATATTTATTCAAGAATTAATTCTTCTAGGAAATTCTCATTCGTCTACTTTCAACTATAAATTTTAATTAATCCAACCAGAGATTGTTCTCAGTGATATGCATTGTACCTTCTTGTTGCAAAGGTGCATTTTCCGCTTTTATTAAATGCGGCTCAGAGAAATATGCGAGAGGAAATATGCGAGTGGCGTATAGACGGGAGTGTGTATATAAGAGAGAGCAAGAAAATATCGCATGCGAACGCACATGCGTGAGCTTAGCACACGGCAGCGTGATCCGATCGGTGTATCAACGTTTTATGTGTTCCGGCAGTAGACATATGTATTCATGCGTATATATGCGTATTATATGCATATAGACAAAATGATATATAGGGAGGCATAGTTGTGTCGATATGATTCATGATCGAGGACGTGGGGAGCATCGAGAAAGTACTTATACATGATGCTATGTTATATATTCAGGCAGATTGATTTAGAGAATTTTTATAAATTATATACAAATGTTATATATCCTGAATATTAAAACGAAAGATATTTTAACTAACTCACCGGTACGATGTGCGGCAGCGGAGTTATAGTAACCATTGCACAAACGTTGTAATGTTAATCTGAAAAATACAGATTCAAATTATAGCAGCGCCAAAAATAATTAATATGTCGTAAAGTAATTATCGAGTGCATTTAATTATTTGCCTTTCAAGTAGATATTTAATTAATAAAATAATTATATAAATGTATATACAATTTTTGTCCCTTTCTTTTGGAATTTTATTTCATAAATGCAAGAGTTCTCTCTCTTTATAAATAATTTAAATCTAAACAAAACAGATAATATTATAATAAATAATAAAGGATGAATAAAATAGATAATAGACATACAGAGTTCGAAAATTTGTGTTAAATTTAACACATTTCACATGTCTCAACGGTCTATTCAAATTTTTGTGTTAATTTAATATAATACAAGAATATATTAGAAGATAACACAAATATTTTGTAAAAAAATTAATACAAACATGTAACACTGACAATTTGTAAAATGTAGAAGCAGATTTTTCAGTAAAATCAACATTTATGATACCTTAAATTAATACTCATTTTATTTATTCATCTTAGAATTTACTCTTTAAATTTCTTAGAGTAAAATCTCACTTCAAAAGAGTTAAAATACTGCCACTATTGAAAAAGAGTGAAACATTTGCACAACAGAACTTGAACAACAGATTTTTACTTTTTATATAGTAGTGAGATTTTACACTTTTGAAGTAAGATTTCTTTCCTTTGAAATGAATCTTATTCCATTCTTATTCGAGAGAGTGCAAATTCACACATTTTCAATAGTGGTAGTATTTTAACTCTTGGAGAGAATGTTTTTTCTCTCTGAAAAATTTAGAGTACATTTTAAAACACATTATTTTTATGTTTTCATTCATTTATTTATAAATTGTATTATTTTAATATTAAGAAATGTTGAATATTAATTTATAACACAAAATATTTTAATAATACAATATATATTATATTAAATTAAATATATTAACTTAAATATATTAAGAATTTAATATAAAACAAGGACTTAAGTAAACTATTTTTTTATACAAATACAAACTGTTTTTTTATTGTATAATAATTCAGATCCAGGTAACAAAATAGATAACCAAATTCTCACCCTGTAATTGCTCCGCCATTGCCCGATGCCTCCTAGAGACCAGCTCCTTCATTCTTGCTTTTTTCCCGGCACTTGACAATACACTCGCGACACACGGATAATTACGAGTACGATCGCATGGAAGCACTAAGTAACAGTAAGCAGAAAACGATGGTCGCTCGACATTTTACACGGTACTCTCGACCTTAATGACAAATGATGACTTTATGATATGACTTTAATATATCGAGACGGAAAAATAAACACACGATAAGATACACAAATGGCTTTCCATTTACGTCTATTTCTAAATTATCCAATGTGAATTAATTTTAATCTCGTTTTAATTTACTCTCTATCTTTTTCTAATTCTTAGAACTAAAAAAAGATAAAAAATAAATTAAACCACAAGATTAAATAATTCAATCGACATTGATAGAAACGATGTTCATTAATGACGTACGTTGATACAAATATATTGTTCAATCTTACTTGACATTCAGTGAGTAACAAAAGTATAGGAACTGTACATACAGTATTTCAAAACTGACGATAAATATGTTACAGATGATTAAGAGAGTCTAATACGAAAATGCAAGGCTATAATAATTTTCAAATGAAAAAAGTTTAAAAATTACGAATGACAGGGATAGAATTTCGAGCGTTCGAGGGATGGCAAGATGATCAGTGTGAAGGTGTTTCCTCGAGAACTTCATGCCTTTGACAATAATATAATTCAGCACCTTCACACTGATCATTTTGCCATACCTGAACGCGCGAAATTCTATATATCGATTCTTCGATATGTCGATTTACATCACCAAATGGAAAGAAACTCATATCATCAACATTACGATATCATCCGATACCCACGGCGCCGAGTCACAATGGACGAATAGCAACGGGAAATTAAAGAGATAGCGCCTTGCCAATTTTATGCACCACCCGCAGCGGCAATGTATCTTCCATTCTAACCTAAATCTATGTCCGCTTTCCGCGCCTCGGATAAGAAACGGGATGCGCTCGCGTTTTAGAACGATTGCTATCTCGCATTGTGGTTTTCGTGAATAAACATGCTAATTAAGATCGAACATAGGTTCTGCGAAACTCGATATCATTGAGCGACGACCATATCGCTTCGATACATGTGCTTCGCACATACATGCGATAGATTTTTGACCGAAAGAATTCCGCGATATATATA